AAAAATAGAAAGAATGGTAACTAGTATAGGTCTATATTCTTTTTGAAAAAGTTTTCTATATATACTGGAAATTATCCTAATAACCAATCTAAGTTTCATACCATTTACAGCTTTTTCAATCAACTCTTCGCAAGCATCAAAATCACCCTTCAACACCAGTTTGTCATGAAGATCTGTTAACATGGGATGTTCCAATGCAATCTTGGTTTTCTTTTGCAGTGATTCAAAAGCCTCTGTATAGTTGTGTTGTCTGAAGTGTTTTAGGCAAAGGCGAATGGCTTCCTGTTCACGGTACTACTAGAACACAAGAGAAAGCATGGAAAGAAGAGATTTGCTTAGTTGTTACTATAGGAAATAATAACGGTGAAACTAATTAATCTAAATTGAGCATTTACTATGCGCCAAGCACTGTACTAACCCAATTCATTAGGCATCATTATTTCCATCTTTCAAATAGCAAAACTGAAGCTTAGCCCATTGTGATAACTTGCTCGAGTACCACAAAGTATGTAGCCAAATGAGATAAAACCAGACCCAATCCCAGAGCCTGAACTCTGAAGAAAAAAAGCAGAACGGGTATTTATTAAAGCCCACTTAAGACTGGAAAAATCATAACTCCACGACATCCACTAATCACATTACAATGCAGGTACTGAAAGCACAGCAGCCATTAAATAATATACATAAATTATATTATGTTTTTTGGTTTTGGTTTTTAATAATAAGCTATTACTCGAATGACAAGTATTATCAAATGTACATGTATTTCAAATTTACAAACAGGTTTTATGACTCAAAATTCATCAAAAAAAGACTATATTTCATCATTTTCTAAGCCTAGGCTACCTCGTCTATTAAGAAGACATCTCAATTAAACAGAATCCAAAAAGTGGGCACTCAATTTACTGAATTTTTCCCCTAACTGGATGTCAAAAATACAAGCTCATAAAAAGGATTTTTTAAAAAACATCAACTGCAACAATATGTTCTGAGATTACCTCTAATTTTCTAAGTATACCACTGTACAAAGAGATGACACAGAAGCACTGTATTATAATCAAACAACAATGATTTACTTATAAGCATTACCCTTTAAAAAGGCAAGCAAATAAAATGATGACTTTAGGAAGATTTGTAAGACTTGAAACACAAATCAGTTGATAGTTAACTGGACTTTCTGACTAATAAAGATTAAACACCTATCCTTCTTTATATGCTACAATTAACTGAGATTTTACCTTATCAAAAAAATCAAATATTCTATGGCCATACTAATTTTACAGTAATAGTTTCTTACTCTTGGCCTCTAAAAAAAGATTTATCCCAACTATCTATATATAACTGTATACA